CCCCCCCCCCCCCCCCCCTCCGACCAGTCCGTCGACCGTAACTCTGCACAATCGGTGTGTATGTGTGTGCGTGTGTGATGTCTTGAGTGGCCCGCGAGCCTGTCAGCCTAAGTAGACGCCGTGCTACTTTGTTTGTACAGGTTTAGGGGCCACAGTTCGAGCAGCAACGATCAGAGAGAAAGAGAGGGAGAGAGAGAGAGAGAGAGAGAGGCGTAGAAGAAAATGGAAAAAGAAGGGAAAAGAAAGAGAGGGAAAGAGAGAGAAATAGAGACTTGCATACTTACCATACATATACATACATATATATATATATATATATAAATATATATTGCATATGGTCGTTTTTTATTCAAAGCTGCGCGCATCCTGCGAATTATTCCACTTCTGTTACGAATTGTACATCGTTATCCATTTCCATCGCGTAAACCCAGAGCGTGCAGATAAGTACGAATGTTACGAATGCAAATATAAATATAATCTCATCTAGCGTCGTGCAGTTCGCACGGTGTGATCACGTTCTTTCGCGCACGACCGTCGCGATTTTACGGCGTCGCCGACGGGAAATAAATAAGGTCCGCTTTCGGAATTTCGCGAGGAAAACCAAAGATGATATTCGTATTTGCATTGCTGAGTAACCGATTTTATGCTTGGTGAAACAGTAAGTGGATGAAGGGTTCGAGCGTTTATTAACTATTGCTTTTACAATTGCGCGTTACGTCTGTAGACGAAATGTTGTTTCATACGTTCTGTCCCCGTGAATTCTGAACTGTTGATTGAAAAAGTGCGATAATACCGAGCTTAATCTGTCCCCGAGTCGAGATTTCATTTCTGCATCAACCGCCTGCACGTTTCCCCGTCAAACCGGTGAGATCCGTGGAGAATCTCAGTGTACAGCATCGTGATTTGATGTTACAATATTTAGACGTCGTATTACCAAGGAATAAAGAAATATTTATTTACGAATTATTTAATATTGAATTATCTCGATGGAGTCCATCAACATTTAAGCTTCCTTGATTTTTAATTTCAACCAGCCATTTATTAATTATTTAACTTACCCGACCGCTGACGGGCTATTGCAATGAGATAATATTAAATAATCTAATAAAGGTCGGTAGCGAATAAATAAAGATTAATAATGACCAATGAAGATTAATAGAGATTATTAAAAGTTAAAGATGAGTAGAGCTTAACGGTAAATAAAATCACAAATTTTCTTCCTCTAAAATCTCCTTACCGTCACTTTTTTTCATTTTCATTAGAAATTTTGATAGGACTTGGAGACTCCAAAGTTGAAAAAGAAGGACTTTGAGACGAGTTCAGTTTTTTATATTATTATTTATAACCAAAAATTCTGTTCTCTTTAAGGAAAAAGGCGTTTGGTTTGTACGTATTCATTGTCAGACAAATTCTAACTAACTTTTTCCGTTTACGATAACGTCTATAGTTTCGGGAAAACATCGATTGCGTTTTAGGAAACATCGGAAAAACTTGCTTCGGAACGATCGATCGATTATATACCTTGTCGGTGTGAAAGATCGATACATAAGTAAGGAAAGGTTAATGTAAACCGAAAATTTCGACTCGGGTCCGGTCGAAGTGTCTATCTCGTACGTTCCACGTAGACGTAATTCAAACTCAACGTGAATATCGATAAAACCACACACATACATTGTTATTACGATCGAGATTTGACGGAATCGAAACTATACTATTACGTTAATCACGATTAATTTTGCTTCTTCGATTTCCTTGTTAAATCACGATGATATTTGACTCATTATTTCTCAGTATGACTCAATATTTATACACGTGACTCAGCTTTTTCATCCGTCTGTCCCTTCACTCACGATAAGACTTAAACGATACTCTCGATTAATTAGAAGAAACATGTTAGGAAAAATGCTATATATTTCTACTTAGGTTACTGCGTAAGCGTTTTTTACACGACGATCTACAGAACACGAGAACTAAGCGCGTTTCCTCCGCGGTAGAGATGGGCGATACAACTCGAATATATCGATACATCGTATCGATACGTATCGTGGAGGAAAATATCAATACATAGGACATATCGAGTATCTTTTATCGATACCATCAGCATCGATAATTTAATTGGATTAAAACATTAGATTAAAAGCAGGCTTGGGAAAGTTACCGTTGAAAAGTAACGGACACGTCGTTAGCAAGTTGTTAAAAAAAAGCAACATACACGATATCGGTGTTACAAGTAACGCGTTACTTCCCAACCCTGATTAAAAGTACCTATGTTGTATACGTTATATGAATGTAATTATACGAATGGCATGTATTTATAACAATGTTTAAATAATTATACTGACATTATTTTCTAAATGAAAAATACACATTTTAAATAAAACTTTTCTATTTATAAAATAAATTATATTATTTTGTACATTATGAGACGCATAATAATAATAATTACTCTACCAAATGCCAATGTCGGTCACACCTTTAGAAGTAAACTGTTACCGAAATGTTTGCGAAACGTCGAGAACAAATCTACGAATGACGGGGCGTTAATTGGGAATGCTAAATTAAATATTCAATATTTATAAATGCTTTAATCGTTGAGATCGAGGGATTATAATTCTAATAATTTTAGGTTATCGCTCATTAACCTATGTCACTCTTCAGTCATTATTTTACTTGCTTTAGAAAATACACTTTCGGATGGAATTGAAGTCACAATTAATTACTAATATTTAATTGCTAAGGTTTTTCGATGAGTTATCGAGCGACAGTCAAATTGAAAAATTAATCACCATCGATATATTGTATCGATACGTATCGTGGATAAACATATCAATATACAAAATGTATCGAGTATCTTTGGTCGATACCATCAGTATCGATAGTTGAATTGTATTAAAACATTAGATTAAAAACAGGGTTGGAAAGTTCCCCTGAAAAATAACAAGTCGTTAGCAAATCGTTAAAAAAAGGCAACTGAGCGGTCAACATAGACATATCGAAGTTCAATATTCCAGGGTCGCATATCAATACGTGAAAATATCGACTATAAAATATTCGATACGAAATATTGATATTTTGGCATTAAAATATCGATATTCGAAATATCGATACAGTATCGCCCATCTCTTCTTCGCGGAATTTGATCTTGAACAAAGAAAAAGGAAATCTCGGAGGNCCCCCCCCCCCCCCCGGGGCGAATCCGAGATTAAGCTTCAAGATCTGATGGTCGCGATTGGATTTCTTTCAGTCGCCGAATGTTATTTCTTGCCACGGTCGGATGAGAATCGTGTCGCGATCCCTCACGATCGAGTCCTCTGTCGCTTAGTTTTTTACAACGCTGTATAAAATATTTTTATAAATACGCAACGGACGCCCCTATACTATATTTTCTACGCGCATTGCCGTCGCGCTCGCACGCTATCACGTATACGGCGCGTACGATTCGGAATTCGGTCGATCGCTCGTCTGAGCCTGATCGATGTAACGTGACGTAACGCATGATTACGTGGCCAAACCTTTTCGAAGACTGGACAATACACACGTTCTTACGTAACATGCAGTGTTTGCTTCAGATGATTTCAGATTCATCTAGATGAAGATGAGATGAAAATTCGAAAAATTCATCTTAGATACGTAAATAATTATGTTTTTGCTTTATCTACGTGAAAGATAATAAATGTAGCGCTACTTATCTAGATACTTTTTGAGATGACACTGTTTTCATGAGAGATTTTATAGAAATTTATAATAAAAATCACGCAGATCATAAAATTGCACAACGGTTAAGTAATTCGTCAACGTGTTCACTCTAAATTTAAGGATCTAACAAAAAAGACTAATAATCATTTACAACTCACCCACAATTAACGATTTGATATAAGCTTACAATGAATTCAATTGAAAGCCAGAAGCCGGAACAAATGGTCTGTTTTTTTTAGTTGCACCGATTTGATGCAATAAGTCAGAGTGAGACAAATATATTTTGTCTCGCTCTAATTTATTGCGCCATTTCAGTAGTGCAGCTAAAAAGAACAGACTAGAAGAAACAAAACCGAAATTTGTTGATTCGTTGAAATCTAATCTTCAATTCCTAGTCTGATACGGGCTTAACGCATAGGTCCATATTATTTCATTAATTTCATCGAAAAACGAGTTCATAATATTGATCATAATATCAGATAATTGTTAGATGAGATAACATGTTTTTTCATGTTTCAGATAATTGTTAGATGAGATAACATGTTTTTTAATCTAAGATGAAGATAAATATATTTTGTACTTTTTCCATCTAGGCAAAGATAAAGATGATCTATTTATTCATCTGGATGATTATTTCGATAATTTTATCTCGATACCCGGCGAACACTGATATGTGAATTTTATCTTCCTCTCGTACATGCGAGAATCTCGATACGACGAGAGCGAAAGGAGGGGAAAGGAAGACAGGAAGAGTCTTTCGTCTTTTCGTCAAATATGTCTCCTCCACATTCGCACGTGCAGAGTGCGGCGCTAGAATCCGGACACGAAAAAGTTTTATCAAAAAACTTTCAAAAATTTACTTAAATTTATTAAGCCGTTTGTTTAAGTCAATATTAAATATACAAAAAAATACTTTCGCACACATGTCGAGAGGTTCATTCGTAGTCCTCCTACTCAACGTAACCTCCCTGCGCCGCTATTACCCCGCTCGATTCGATCCTTGAAGCGCTCGTACGCCGCCCTTAATTGTGCACAGTTCACAGCCGCAAACCCTGCCTCAGTGGTGGCCCGAAGGGAAGCCGCATTGGGGTGTCGCGACTCATTGGCAACCCTTTCAGCAACGCTTTACACATAATAATCTAGGCGACTCAAGTCAGGACTATTAGGAAGCCAGACCTTAATAAGTCCTTAGACCAAAAGAGCTCGACGTGGTCCGAGAGTCAATTTTGCACCAAATGACTGGTGTGAGTGCCATCTTGTTGAATGATGTACGGCCTTTCCGAGGCCGTAGTCTCCATCCAGGGCTTCATCACATTGTGTTTAGGATGTCTACATAAGCTTCTTTTGCCATCATTTGACCCTTCTCAAAGAAGTAATGACGTCTCTGCCGCGTATGAATCTTTCTTGCTTAAACGTCAACGTAATCGCTCTAAATTTAAGGATCTAACAAAAAAGACCAATAATCATTGACAACTCACCCACAATTGACGATTTGACACAAGCTTACAGTGGATTCATCAATTGAAAGCCGGAAGCCGGAACAAACGGTCTGTTATTTTTAGTTGCATTGAGTTAATGCAATAAGTTAAAGTGAGACAAATCAGAATCCCACGCCAAAACCAGAACCATCGGTGTCCGCGTCCGGCTCGTGTTTCGGCGACTGAGTCTGCTAATAGACAATGCGAGCGGATTGGCGAGCAGAAACCGCTCGGAGCCTGCCGTCAAATTGCTCTCAGTAAAATAGCTACTCGGTTTTTCCCACCAATCCGTCGACAGATCGCTACAGGCTCTGCTCGGTTTATGCGAATCTGCTCTCGCATTGCCTGTCAACAGGCTCCGTCGCATTTCTGTGACAGCAGTTTGGCAACGCAATGCGACAGAACCTCTGTTAGATTCGTTGCCTCTCTGCCATCGAAAATTCGTAGCTCTGCTCGAAATCTGTTGCGCACAGGTTTGGCTATTCGCGCGAATTTCAAATTGAATTTCGTCCGGATTCTTCTAACGCCGCATCCTGTGCATCGTGTGTGCGCATATATAAGAGCGCTCGACTGTAATGAGGCATTCAATGTGTATAACGAATAAAAATATTTATAGTACTTCGTACTATTTGATAACGTCGAGTATTTCTCGAGTACACACTTTCTGTGCCACCTGTCCCACACGTAAGTTTCACGAGCGAATTTGCCCACGAGCGACGTCGTCAGCGTCAATAATTTCGGTAGGTGTTCGCGATAGGCAGCTCCGATTGATTTGACCTTGACGCATGTTGTCACAAGGAAATGAGTAATAATCAAAAGGTTGTTGTTAAGTGTCGCTCATTGCTCACTAAAAAGTTATCAACGAAAGAAGTTTGGAAAAAGTGCGAATTAGAATTGTCCATTGTGTGTGTAAATGCTTCATATACTGCGTGACCCCGACGTAAATGGTAGAAATCGTCCTCCTGAATGACTTTCCGAAGGTTTCATCCACTGTTCATTGAAAAGATATTAACAGAAGAACAGAAATACGTTACACGCGTCCACCCGCATCGGCTGGTGCGTGAAAAGCTTTCCGCTCGGATCACCAATTAGAAAATTTTATATTAAATTAGCCAATCACCCATGCGAGCTATCGGAGCCTGCCCGTTTATGAACAGAATTTCTAATTAGTGCCCCAGCGAGGGAAGACTTTTAAAACGATTTTCTGCCGGCGCTGCAACATCACGAAAGCTCATCGAAATCGTAGTTTTTTGCTTCTTTGCTCGCTATTTTTCGCAAAATTGTCACGTGACAGGCAAATTTAGATAACGGATTCGTGTTCAGCGAACAGAAATACGTCGAAAAGGATCATTCACGTTCGTGTTACAAAATAGTGTGTGTTGGACAGTGCCAATCAGTCAGTAACGAAGATAACGATTAATAACGAGCTGGAAAATTGCTTGATTTGTTGCAATTTCGGTCCGCCATATTGGACTACCATCTCTGATTTTGAAAATCTTCCAATTCTGACATCATATTTATAATCGGCGCCCTCAAAAAACTCTACGCATAAGTTTTAACACTTAAATTTTGAAAAAGTCGCTGGAAAATATATTTTCTCTGAAAACTACAGATTTACTTTAATTTCGTTATTTATAACATTTTTGCAGTTAACAAAATGTGTATTTCGACGATTTCTTTACATTCACCTATCCCTAAGATACTAGAAAAATAAAAAGAAAAAAACAGTCCAAGTGTAGGAATGAAATTTTCATCGACAAAAATCTGAAAGGAAATCTGAAAGAAATTAGGTGGAAAGTATATTTTCCATCGTGCTTTTAAGGGTTGACGATGTTATGCGTGATTTACTGACACGTGACGTATGATATTTCGAAACCAGCCAGCCAGCGGATGTGAATGAGCTTTCGACTAATAATAAGATAGCGCTGAACAGATACGAAAAAAGGATAGGACCGTAACGAATCGGCTCGACTGTCTTTACGACCTTGCCCGACCACCATATCTGGATGAGAACCACTTCCGAGCCGTTACAGCGCATTTACTATAATATCTGCAAGCAACGGCCGATTCACTCGCCTCCGGGACCCGCATTTTTTGGTAATTGACCGTAATAAATTCGAAATCCTATGGAGGAGGATCCTTTTCCACCAATGGGCAATCGCGGTTATCCGGCCTTTCATGGTTTCACGTGTAACCCGAAGGCGTATCCTTACAGGACGATTACTGTGAATTACATTTCGCGAGTCTTCCACGCGCGAAAGAAAATCTGACAAGTTGTTCACGATTTTATATTAAACGTCTGGCCAAGAAAGGCGTCACTTCTCGTGGCCTCCTTTAAGTTCGCCAGTTCCTCTAAGACCGACATCACATTATGGATTGGGATTGAGATTGGATTGAAATCTGGCTGATTAAAGCAAGTTCAACTAAACTTGAACTTTTAAAGGTCTTAGATATAAGATCCGACAATGAGTACTGGCCTGAATACTGGAGAACCAGCTAACTTGAAACAGAAAAAATTCGACAACGGCGATGTAATACACAAACCCATTATCTAACGGGAAGACGATCCTGACTTCGTTCAATTTCTACTTAGGATTTACCGATAGTTTTCCACCTCGTCGCCGCATAATCTTTCTCGTCCAGCCGGTACTCATAATCTGGTCTCACATTTAAGACCGTTTTAACTCCTTGCCATACTTCGACGAGTCAGACTTAACGACGATTTCGGGCCAAACACGGGAATGTCACGAGTGAGACTCGCGGTGTCGGCTGATAGAAATAACGGCTGAAACGTAAACGATCGCGGCAGTAAGGAAAACCGCGCTGGAAGGAACTCGGAATCAGTTCGTCAGTTCTTACCATTACGTTACGAGAATTGGCAGCAAATTTGCATCAGAATCCCATATCGAAACCATAACCATCCGCGTCTCCGCATTCGGCTCGTGTTTCGATGGCGGAAAACTAAAAGGCAATCCGAGCAGATTGGCGAGCAGAAACCGCGCAGAACCTGCCGGCAAACTGCCTGCAGCTGGATATGCTCGGTTGTTTTACCACCAATCCGTCGTCAGATCGTTACGGGCTCCGGTTTCTGCCGCCAATCCGCTCTCGCATCGCCCGTCAGCGGACTCTGCCGCATTTCTGCCGCATTTCTGGCAGCAATTTGGCGACGCAGTGTGATAGAATAGAATCTGTGTTAGATTCTCGTCCAGCCGGTACTCATAATCTGGTCTCACATTTAAGACCGTTTTAACTCCTTGCCATACTTCGACGAAAGGTCTTATATTTCCGCCTTTCCGCCAGCGAAAATTCGTAGCAGGCTCAGATCGAAATCCGTTTGCACAGCTTTGGCCCGTTTGGGTCATCGGCTACCGGAAGCGTCCGAAGATGAACTTAAGACGGGCTTAAATATAAGATCCGGAAAAAAATGGACGAACCAGCCTAGGAGGAATGAAGCCTCCCAAATGGTAAAAATAGCCGGGTAGCTTTAAAAAAAATCGATGATACGAATATATCTTTCGAATCTCCTAATAATACAGATGATTTCGAATCATTACATCGGTCGGTCCACTGTCGTAAGAATAAAACAATCACCACCGATCCACTGAAACGTTACGAATTCACACGATGTTTGATTCGAACATTCGCTCTTACGATCCAAAGTAATGGATATTTTCTCAGTCGCTACGGGAACGTTATTGCGCATAAATGTTCGTTGTAGTTTTGAGTAAGATTATCCGCTTTGAGAAACTGGCGGGACAGACTTTCGAGATAAAATGATTCACCGCCAGCGAGTCGGATCGTTAAGACAAGACAACCGATGATTCAATTCGAAGGCAACAGACGTATCGCGCTTTTAAACGATGCGCGGCGAAGTTGAATTGCGAGATAACGCGATAGTGAATCCCCTTGCGTCTAATCTGGACGGCCGCATGCGTTTTTAACCGGACAGGATACAGCCCAGACAATCCGACCAAACTCACGACCCAAGTCAATATTTGCGTTACCAGGCGCGAGGGACAAAACGCACATGGGCTCCACTTCGCGGTAATGCCGTGGGGTGAAGGAACTTAAGAACAAGGTGCGATCTGGTCGTCGTTTTTACATGTATTTCACATATTTACAAATCCAAGGCAGTTACATCGCTACATCGGCCAAGAAATAAATATGTCCGCTAACATATAAAAGAACACACGAAAGAACAAAACAGCGGGTTTAAACAATTTCGTCTCTTACAATGCGAATTATTATTATTTAATTTACGCATTATATATATATATATATAAATATATGTAAATATATATAAATATATAAATAAATAAATAAATAAATAAATTTATCTATTTATTTCTTTATTTATTTATTCATTTATTTATATTTATATTGTTTTACGAGAAAGAATTTTATCATTTTGTGTATTATATATATATATATATGTAATACAAAATAATAATAATTTCCTCTCTCTTAAAATAACACTTGAGGCGACATCGGAACGAAACGATACTTTGAAGATGATTTTCGGCTATCGTAGGGGAGCGATCGAATTACAAATTCCTCCATTAAGTCGGTAAATGTGTTCTGAAACACTCGCGACGGATTAACAAATTTCAATAATCACGATCTCGATCTTGCGATCACGGCAAAGATGAATGCGACAACGCGTAACAGACGCGAATCATAAGTAGCGCGGCGCACGAATACGGCCCGAGACATTCGATATCGTCATCCGACGTTATCATTAAATCGCGGGTGGTCGTCGCGAGTTTTCCTTTCACCGTGGACGAGTTCACTCAGTCAACTTGTGGCAACGATGTAGACGAATCGATCGTCGTCGTCGTATTCTTGAAATGCCTTGAAGTGAGATTTGAAAATGAATGTAAATTTTACTTTGGAAAATAACACGAAAACCAAATCATTCGAATTCGAGTAATCTTTCCGTCATGTAGAGTAAATTTCCTGCTCCGAGTCATTGAGTGAACCATTTTCATTCGAAATTGAAGGGTGAGTCTGATGTACTTCACTTTGTTCCACGAACAAATTTACTTTAACTAATTGAAATATTCACGCAATACGCACAACAATTAGAGCAACACTTGACATTTTCTAAAAAAAAGAAAAACATAAGCAAATCTCGAGCAGCTGTAATTTCGTCAAAGGTTGTCGAAATCCAAATCTGAAAAGGGGGGTTTTAATGCTTGAAGTCTATTTTCGAACGATCTTTATTACTTTTTCGGTTCTCGTAATTTTGATAATTTTTACATACCGAAAACGACGAGCTGGACAAGATGGCAAACGTTCTCGTTGTTTTCAGACGTGTCACGAGCGCGAGGAAAAATCTCAATAACAATTGTTGGCGATTTCTACGTGAAAAATCGAAGTATATTTTAGAATTTACTCGTGGGACGAAAAATGTCTGTCATTCTCGGCTACCCCCGGATTGCTCTTCGCTTCGTCCCGCGTCTCGTCAGAAGCCGCGTCTCGCGTCCCCCCGTGTTCGCCCACCTGCTCTCTCACCTGATCGCGGATACGTGTGCAGCTAAAGGGTGTGAACTCGCGCGCACGGCTCAGTAGAACACCGTCCGATAATCGTCCTGATAATCGGCAGGTCTTACGGGCTGGTGCATTGCGGAGGAGCCATCCGGCCCGAGTAGGTACAGGCTGGTGGGCTTGCCGTTGAATTTATAGGGTCCCATGTCAAGGCTGTTGAGCGAACCGACGTCCGGCCGCTTGGAGGGCTTGAGATTCGCCTGCTGCCACTGATAAATCGAGGTCGGCTTGCCGTTGCTGACGAAGTCGGCCGACAGGCTGTCCAGTTTCGTGATCGGGCTGTCGACCGGTCTCTTGTCGGGCTTTTGCCGCCACTGGTAGACCGACGTAGGCTTGCCGTTGCTCACGAAGTCTATGGGCAGCTTGATGAAGGGATCAACGCTCTGAAGGGAAGCCGTCGGTTGAGCTGGTTGCTTCGTCGGCCTCGCATGGGATGCAGACAGGAGTAGCTGCTGGGGTAGCTGCGCCACCACCGGCACCAGCTGAGACTTCAGACCGTCGGTGGCGACGGTCGAATATTTGGGTGACTGAGAGATGTAGCCGAAGCCGGGCACGAAGATGTAAGGCGTCGCCGGTAGTCGAATGTAGATGATGTTGCTCTCTTGGTAGCTCCTCTTCGAGCCACCCGCCGGCCGCTCCACGATCGTCGGATTACCGTCGTCGTAGTCGATCTCGTACGTCGCCGGGTGCAGCAGAGGGTGGGGCATCCGGGGTATCGGAGAGTAGTCCACGAACACGGCCTTGCGCTTCCGTTCTTGCGTCGTCTTCCTCCTGCCGGTCTCCTGCGTCTCTGTGACGTCGGAGGCTTCTTCGGGACGGACGTCGGTCGTCGTGGGTCTCACAGGCTCGGAGAGAAGCGTCTTATCGAATTGATCTTCCATAGTTTTTCCCAGGTCCCTCGGATTCCCCGTGTCGACGTTGCCGCGCGTCTCCGTGGATATGAAAAGCGACTTTTCGCCGGCGGATCGACGGCCGTCGTCCGGCAGGGGAAACGCCGCAGCGGATCCGATTATCGGCACCAGCAGGATCAGCAACATCGTCGGATCTGCAAGGAGAGGCACGTGAGGAAACCGCGAAAACGCCGGGTCCTGCCTTCTCTTTACCGCCGATTTCGTTTAATTCATCAATCGAGCTTCCTTGAGCAAAATTTCTCTTGGAAAGTCTGGAAATGTTCAAAAAAACTGTCGTTCGGTACGTGTAATTATTAGGTACGTAAATTAATTCAGTGCTTCCGCTGGCAAAAATTCAGATTGATTTATCGATGAAAGATGTATAGCTTTAATTATAATTATCGAAATAATCCTCGCTATTACCGATGACTGTGCACTTTTCTATCGGGCGGCCGTCGAATTCTATCGCGATAGAAATTCGGTTTTGAATCAACGAAGTCATCGATAGATTTTCGAGCATCTTCCGGCGTTTGAGAATGCACGTCAGTTAACGCGGTTTTAACGAAAACCTCTATTTCTTTATTATACTATTTTGTTCTACTAAAACTTAATTTAAACAACTTTCGTCGGAAACATTTCTTCAATACGCGAGAAAAAAATTGACCTTCGTCCGAACTTGGCAGCGCTACCCATACAGCTCATACTGCCACCGCTTACAGAGTGCGCTTTTCGAAACTTTAAAACTTTTGTCCGAAACATTTTTTTCCTAAAACGCATTGTTTACGAAATATTCGAGCGTTTCCAGATTTTTGGAACCACCCAGCATGGAGAGATTATTATTGCCACCATTTTTTCGTCGAAGAGCGCGCTTATATAGCCATATTGCGAGTGATATTGTCCGCAAACCAAACTGGTGGCTCTGAGAAGCACTCTAGCGGCTTGTAGGAGCGACCGCAAAGAAGCCAGCTCGGACATCCTCGAGAGAGCTGCGCCTGGTGCGCGGTGACCCGACTGTCGCCTCGGTAGGCGTCCATCAGTTACGTTTAGAGACCCTACAATCACGAGACTTCACCATCTGATCGGCCCGCCATGTTTATGCTATTCCCACTAACTTTCAAACACATATATTATATTAATGTTAAATTGTAACACACGTTTCAAGGAAGCAAACGTTTCAAATTTAATAAATATTTTGTGACATTATAATTTTGTATTACGACACAAAATTATAATTATAGAAAGTGACATAGTTGTAAAATTAATATATGTATAATCACAAAATTGTGTCTTATGTAATAATATGTAATAATATTATATTTGTGTAATAATATTATATTTTGTACATAATTGTGACGATTTTATGTAAGTCAATTATAATAAATAAATAAAGTGAAGTAATATGAGACGAAACAAGAAGGAACAAGCAATTCTCTTTATCTACGATAGAAACAATTTCAATTTTATATTTCAGTCATGATTATTAAAAAAAAGTTAGTTTTACTTCAGAAAAATAGGAATTGTTCGTTGATTCGCAATTTTCGCAGCACATTTCTCGTAATCACAGAGCGCGACGTTATGCATTTTTTTGGAAAAATCCTCATAATATATCTTATTTTTTGAGGAGTTATTGCGAAACGGTGCAGAACATTCGTCCATTTTACATTCAGTAAAGCACAATTACTTGTATGCACGAAGTAAACACATTAGTCACGATATATCAATATGGTTTGTTCTTTTCAGCTACTCTAGTGCAGTAGTGCAGCTGAAAAGAGCAAACTATCGATTAGAGTGAGATAATGCATATTTCTTTCTTTTTCGTAGGATTTAGCATAAACATGGCGCGGACCAGCTTCGGATCCAGTCTTGCGTCGAATCCTTAACAGCACACCTCCAATATCTCAGAAGAAGATCCTTTCGGCATATTCCGGATTTCGGGGAATCTTATATATCTCTTTGGGAAATTTTTCTCGACAAATCGGTGGACACGCCAAAAGTCGAAGTCTCGATATTCAAGAATTTCCCAAACAAGGAAACAAAGGAAACGCCAGAGATTGTCCTCTCGGATCTCGCCGAATCTGAAATATATTGTAGCGTTATATCCCCGCTATTGCGTGGTAAAGTCATTCGATGCAACTCTCGGGAAATTATTATCAGCGAGAAAATTGACGTTGAAGTTTCAGGCGCATCTCATGCCGCGAGTTTTCAACATCTCTCGAGCTCAGCGGTGTGATCGATTGCGTAAAGAGCTTGGCTACTGTAACGAGAACGTTATATGTTGTATGCGAGTTCGAATCTTGATTTGTATAAGTGTTTTTTTAATTTGCATACACAGATTATCGTATAACATATTATTGATAAATTTATTCGTAATAATAGGTAATAATAATGATGCAAAACTGATGAATGGTCAATCTACTTATAATCGTGCCAATAATTAGGCCATATTTAAGGCCATATTTAAGGCTCCGGAGTAGTAGCCGCGGCCATATTGGATTCGTAGGCGAGAAATGACAGGTTGAGAAATATTGCCTGTCATTTGTGAATAAAAAGATATTTGGGTAAAACAACATTTGAGACTTGAAGACACTTGTGAAAATGGACTCTTCTCGTCCCTCCTGACAATCAACGAATAGCTGTAAAAGGTACGTGAATTAAGGCCCTATTCATGCAGGAAAACATACGATTTCACAGCTGTTGAAAGAAGTGAAAAATATCGCCCCTACGTAATAAAATTCCAGGCTAATCTTGGTATTCGTCCATTTTTACGGATTTCACAAGTGTGTCGCACAAGTCACACCTGCACAATTAAACAAATAATCATAAACTGGCACGCGGTACAAAATTTCAAGTACAGTCCAGCAAGCGCTACGAATGCTTCCAAGCGTTTCTCCTTCCTCTTATTTTCTCCTTTATTCGGACCCCACAACTAGACGAAGAAAGAAAAACGCTTCGAAGTATTCGTAACGTTCCCCAGACGCTGCTTTATTGCTTCATCTTTTAGTCGTTTTCAACAGTGTCGCGGATTGTCAACGCGGAATTCTTAGCCACTCCTTAAATCTATATGCAGGGTAAACGAATCAGCGAATCCTTCAACAAACTCATTTAATGCCGTGTAACGACCTCAAGCGTGTAAATGTATGCTCTTTATGCGGCGAAATATGTAATTTTTACACCGAGAAAGCAAATCGCATAAGTGTGTAATTCAGTGCGCATAAATGTACACTCGTTACGTACACTTGGATTTGCAGGCGAGATAAGAGCGACGCGCGCGTTTCACGGAGCGAGCGCGCGCGCGTCTGATAAATGCCCACGAATTATAATGTAGCCGGAATTATATGAAGTTGTTGCTTGTAAACGAACGGCTAATAGCACACAGCATGGGATACCATAACTCAGCATTTTATACGCGCCGAGATACCCCCGTCCCCTCTATGAGCCGAGCGCGCGTGTGCGCGCGGGGAGCGCCTCGGTATCTCCTTATTCGTATCGCAGTGGGTCATTACCATCGCGCGTCCGCTTAATCACGCTCGTCCCCTTTTTACCCTCCGGAAAAAAAGAATTATTTCTCGATTTCATACGCGTGGTTAGCAACTCTCTCTCCGATGCAAATCGCGCGCGCCTCGTCTCGCAAACGTGCGTTAACCAGCGTCGAGCGGCAAGCTAGAGACGGACGACGCAATCCGATTATATCGATACGTCGCATCGATACGCGTGGTGGGTGAAAGGTATCGATGGTGCAAAATGTATCGGATATCTTGCATCGATGCCATCCATATCGATACTTGAATTGCATAAAAATGTCGAATTAAAAGCGGGATTGGGAAAGTTATCGCTGAATAATTTCGTCGTTACGAAATCAATAAAAAAAAAAGTAAGTTATAACGTCAATGGCGTTATAAGTAACGCGTCATTTGTTGCAAGCAACTCTGATTAAAAGTATCTATCTTGTATACGTTATACGAATGTAATGATGTGAATGGCATGTATTTGTAATAATGTTCTAATAATTATGCTAAAATTATTTTCTAAATAAAAGAGAAGGAATCTTTAATAAAATTTTATTCGTAAATTAAATTATATTATTTTGTACATTACGAGAGACGTGTGATAATAATTTATAATTGCTCCGTAAATGCCAATCTCGGGTCGTGCATAATTTTGAAAAAGTGAACTGTCAACGAAATGTTTACGGAACGTCGGAAACAAATCCACGAGAGACGCGGCGCTAATTCGGAATGCCGAATCAAATATTTACAAATGACAATCGCTGATTGATCAAGGGATTGTAACAATAACTGATTTTAAACGATCACCCGACTTATTTTGTTCTCCGGTCATTATCTTATCTGCTTTACAAAACAACCTCTCGGAAGGAACTAAAGTCACAATTAACAACTAATATTTAATTGCTAAGATTTTTAGATGAGTCATCGGGAGATAGTCAAATCAAAGGAATAATCGCCACGAACGGCCAGCATAGGCGTATAGGGGTTCGATCTTTTCTGTATCGATATGTGAGCACTTCAAGTGGCAAAATATCGAAACAAAATATCGACATTTAATATCGATTACAAAGTATCGATATTTGAAACAGCGATGCTGTATCGCCCATCTCTAGCGGTAACCAAGTAAAGTTGCCACTTCGTAATTATCATCCGTTGGAATCCGCGAAGAAAAGGGCCGGAGGGAGGAAGGGAGGGGGGAGAGGAATCGTCTCGTTTTTCACTCTCAATGGCGGACACCGCAACATCGCACGTGAGCGCGCACGGTTATTAAATACTGTGAGCGAGATATCGCTCGAGATTGCGCAAGCCGAACAAGCCGAAACAAATTGTCCGCTCTCTCTCTCTCTCTCTCTTTCTCGTCGTCGTCATCGGTGTGGAGGATGTCCTTCTTGCGAAAGAGAGAGACGGCGTTTCCTGCGCGCGTAACCATAGGTGCCATTACCGAGCCTTCTTACAGCTCGCGGCTCGCGCGATTGTATATCCGCGACGTCGAATAAATCACGTCTCCCCCTGCGGAGAGTGAGAGTAAGAAAAGAGACAAGGCGGACACAGGCAGGCAGGAGGACGGACGGACGGGTGGACGGACGGACATCCTGGCGGTGGTACGGAAAGGTGGAGAGAGGGGAGGAGAGACAAACGCAA